TCCTAAGAGGCAGCACAAATATGAGAAATGGGCAGCAGGTGAAGAGTCAAGTGAAGAAAGGTTATTTCTTGCTCTGCCATTAACTAAACAAATGCCTGCGGAGGAGATTAGGATAATTAAAATTTTAAAAGTCCCCCAAAGTAGGCCAAAGAATAATCTGTATTTTGCATTATTTTGCTAATAATTTGTTTTTTTGTTTTTTTCTTTTTTTTTAATTTATTTCTAGGAGAGAGAGAGAGTGAGAGAGACAGCATGAGCAGGGGAGGGTCAGAGAGAGAGGGAGTCACAGACTGAAACAGGCTCCAGGCTCTGAGCTGGCAGTCAGCACAGAGCCCGACGCGGGGCTCCAACCCACGAACCGTGAGATCATGACCCAAGCGAAAGTCAGACGCTTAACCGACTAAGCCACCCAGGCGCCCCATAATAATTTGTTTTTTAACATACTGTTGTTCATATGTATAACTTCTTGGTCAAGATATAACTTATACAGAATATAAAAATGACAATTTATCTACTTCACATTAGTTTTACATTAAAAACAGAAACTGGGCATTGTAAAGCTTATGTAGTTTATCATGGAATATAGAAAAGTACTTTGGTATCAGTACTTTTTTTCAAGTGCCCTGAAAGCTACTCATTAGTTGTGTGATTTGGAAGAGGTTCCCTGGATGGCTGAATGTACCTCCTATTATTATACTTGGCACACAGTAGGTATTTAATTGATACTTTGGTATCACATTTTTTCAAGTGCCCTGAAAGCTACTCATTAGTTGTGTGATTTGGGAGAGGTTCCTTCGATGGCTGAATGTACCTCCTATTATTATACCTGGCACACAGTAGGTATTTAATTGTTCCCCTCATTTATGGTTTTAAAGAAATATGAGAGGGGCGCCTGGGTGGCTTAGTCGGTTAAGCGTCCGACTTTCGCTTAGGTCATGATCTCGCGGTTCATGGGTTCGAGCCCTGCATCGGGCTCTGTGCTGACTGCCAGCTCAGAGCCTGGAGCCTGTTTCAGATTCTGTGTCTCCCTCTCTCTCTGACCCTCCCCTGCTTGCGCTGTCTCTCTCTCTCTCTCTCCTAGAAATAAAAAAAAAACATTAAAAAAAAAATTAAAAAAAAAAAAAGAAATATGAGAATACACAGGTTCATTAAGATATAATTTTTCCTTTTGCTTCTGAAATAAAAGGAAGGCATTAATTTCTTAATTCAGTTTCATTTGGATAAAACAGATACCTTATTTAGCAATCGGTAATTCTTTTAACATTACTTTTAGAGAAATGTAATTTTATGTCATGATTATGCAGACCTTTTCTCTTTGGCGTCTTTTAAAGAAAATGAGCTCATATTTTAAAATATTAAACACATAAGAAACAAACCAGCAACTGTAATGCCCCAATGAATCCTGAAAATTTATTACGTGGGAGAATATCAGATATCAATCTTTTGTTTTACAGCTCATGATAATCAGAAAATATACATTTTGAAATGAAAGTCAAAAAAATTACATATAATACATATTACAGATATTTTATTGGTATATAAGCAAAGCAGTACTAAAAGCATATTTATGTGTCCACAGTAGTGAACGTGGCAATTTTCTGTTTAAAGCTGCAGCAACTCAAATCCTCCTTGGGTCAATAAGAAAAGATGGATTGGAAATACATTTAGGGCTATCACCACGTCTGGCTGTAAACCTATTTTTTAATCTTTCCCTCCCCCCATATATATATGTATATACTTTATTGCCTTTATATTTCTGCTGGTTTAATATAATTAGTATACTAAATAGTTATCTGCATTTATTTGGTTTCTAAAAATATATAAAATGCATTGGAATAGAGCTCCTGCAGCTTTCAAGCAGTCACTGTCCTGGTATCGAAAGCTTATTCTGGAAACGTAAAGCAGCAATACTGAATAAATAGTGATTGTTTTGTCTTCTCCACACAGCTGATGGCCTTCACCCAAAACTTAAAAATACTGTAGCAAATAGTATAAACATGCAAAAAATTGGCATAATATAAAAGTAATACTTATGAGCTAAATTTTAATACAATATGGATTAATAAAGACAACTTTAGGTAGAAGAGGGATGTGAACACAGCACTATTATATACATATAAATTAAGGCCCAATTTTTCAAAGGCAATGCACACAGGGAAATGCCCTCTGCCCACATCCTTTGTACACCTGAAATCAAGAGTTTTTGCCTTTTCTGTATTATTTCCTCAATCCATCATTATAGTTCTAATTTGGAAAGATGTTCACAGAAATGGCTTTAAATGAAGTTTCTTTACTCTAAAGACCATTTTTCTCTTATTCACAAAGAAAATGTTCTTTTAATGCAGGTACAAAATTTTATTTATGTTCTGGAAGCGAGTGCTTTGTTCTTGGACACTGTTAAGAATAACATTTCACACCATAAATTCTGTATCTTTATTGTTTTAGCTCTAGTTTATGATTAATTTGAACTATGGGAATTGATGATTAGTTCAGGGATGACTGAGGGAATTAAATAGTATATTAATACTAACCGAAGTCTGACATATCAATTCCCTGTGCATCAGGACAAAAAAAAATGCTAATCAACGAAAATATCTCATCAGGAAAAAAAGGACTGAGACAACCAACTATGGATCATTCTCTGAGGATGCCAGACATTCAAAAGGGTCAGATATACCAGTGCTATTTCAAATCGTTCCTTGGTATGAAAAAAATATCTTCTAATGTATTTAATATAGTAAATCCTAATAAAACAATGACTTACAATATAATAATAAAAAAACCTTATAAGCTAGTTTAGTATTTAGAACCTGAATACTCCCACAGATGCAAAATTTTATATTTGGTATTTTGTATATCACTGCCCACTGCCCCCGGCTGAAATGTATCCAAAAGATGTGGCACTTAATCTAACGCATCTATATGCACAATAGATAAAAATGATCAGGAGTAGAATATAATATTTTTAAGATATTCTAGGGAAATGAGTTTTCTTTCTTCTATTTTAAAAAAAGACTTAGAAAATATTTCGTAGAGATGTTCTTCCAGAAGTAATATAACTGATTAAAAAGTATAGCTGCTCAATGTATTTATCAAATTCACATTTATATATTCTTCTCATCTAGGAAATAGTATTTCTATCCGTAATTAGGTACATAAAGATTACTTGGCATTTGAAAATTCAGAAGAAGTTGTCACAATGCTGCCAGTCTTTCTTTGAAGTTATTAGGTTAATGCTGATAATAATTTACAACAATTAAGTTGGATATTGACTTTGTGTTTTGATGGCACACAAAGGCATCTCTGCAATTACAAATTGCAAAGTTTAATATATCTTCAGTTTTGATTTAAATAGGATGTGATCAATTTATAAAAATGTTTTCTTTGTGAATAAGATCTTAATTTCTCTGAACAACAATAACAAAATGACTCTTGGTATAGGATGGAACCCTTTAAAAATAAGGCATATATTGGGCATACATAAATCATTACTGTCACAAAATCTACAAATTATTTTGATTTTTTAATTCTCCTAATTTTTAAATATATGTAGATATGAAATAACTATTATAAATTGAGAGCAAATGTGTATAGTATGTGGCTATTTAGGTAAGAATAACTTATTTCTCAAGTTATTTGCAAATAGTATAATGGCAAGGTCAACCCGATAACTCCAAGAACCCAAAGAAAATAATATCTTTAGTTGAGGTCTGCCATTTAGCTGGATTAGAAAAGGCAACTCTGCATTATTACTTTCAGTTCTCTAGAAGCTTCTACATTTTTTCACAGCTATTCTTAAAAGTTTTCATTGGAAACCTAAATGCAGCATTCTCGGCATTCATTAAACCAAAATAAGTCAAATGTGTTAAAACATCCAAAGTTGCCCTCATGCATAAGATATAACTTACATCTTTTTATTATTACCATGGCATTAATATACTAATCCACTTTTACTTTGTTGCATGTAGGTAATACAGAGAATATATTTTCCTCATTATTAAAAACTACTTTAAATTTCAGGTTAAAGTCTTAATTATACTGTACCAAATTTTGATCAGAGGGAATGTCACAATGGCTAAATGGTATCTGACCACATCCATCCAGATATTACTTGTGAATCTTAGTTAAGTCACTACTCATGGGAGAGGTGTTGACTCATTTTTGGCTTTATAAATAAGAGAATATATGTACAAATGGAGACTCATGTCCTACATGTAAAAGTCAAGCTCAAAAATGAAAAAAAATTAACTTTCCTTTGTAAAAAGTACCTAACTCCAACGTACTCTTTCTCTAAGCGACTGGAGAGCTAGCAATCATTCGTAAAGTACAGAGTAAATGATGTGCAAGCAAGAACTTGCCCATGGGTGCTTACACCAACAGATCATACATATGAAGTGGGTCATTTTAAAAACACATCACTTAAAGTAGCCTTTGTGAAGCAAACCCACCAGACATCTCTAAGTCACATATTATGGCAACTCTTGAGGACCCATGAGATTCAAATGATTAAGGCAGGGCAGAAACAAAACACTAATGTATCAGGGAACCCCATGCCTGTTTGGATAGATAGTCAACAGTTACATTTTTGTTTAAAGTGTCTGAAGTACTGGAAATCTTTTAAACATACAATTTACCTCACGAAAATATTTCTATTCTGCTATGTGGTCATTCATGTACTGGAAATACTGTAAAGAAAAGACGAAAGTCCAGATTAAAATAAAACCTGAATGATTTGATCTAATTATGCAGTGGTTAGGACAGGTACACAAAATAAATACAAGTGGGTTCTTCTGGAGTTAGTTTTGATGGTGGAGCACCCTATGACACTTGTGTATCTGTAAATCAGCAATGGATGGATGGAGTCTGGCAACATGCACACAGTCATAATCACACAATATATAATGTAATTCAATCACAGGATAAGTATCAATAAAAAATATTAAAACATCAACATTCACCCATTAATTGATTATATGGAATAAATTAAACTAAGCCAGTCACATATTTCTCTTCATTCTTGTCATGGTTTTATTTAATGTATACACACAGTATAATACTTTCCTAATGCTCTCAAAATGCTACAATAAAAATGAAATGAAGGCTTTGCATTACAGCTGTGGACAAAAACGTCAACACTGTTGATGTGTGAAAACACAGTTTCTTTGTTCTTTAGCATCAGTGCACAGGGTATGGCTCCAAGTGGTATGCAACTTAGGACAGGAAAAAGATACGGTGGCTTGTGAAATATATCCTCTGTTCATCATTGGCACAAATCAAAGAAGGAATTTTTACTGTCCTTGGTACCTTTATGGGTCTCTCCCCTAAAGGCAGATAATGTTATACATATATGCCTTCAGGATTAAAACCAGATGAGATAGGATTCTGTAGAATACGGAGATTACTGGGGAGCTGCCGAGAGGAACCAGGCCGCTTCAGGGACCCGGACTGGAATGCTGTCTCTACACAGAAAACAAAGAAAGCCATTTTGTGGACTCAGCAGCTTGAAGGACTTAGCAATACGAAAAATTAGATCTTTTCCTGCCTCAAGAGCCAACTAACATTACGCTGTACAACTGCAGTCCCCTGTGGGGTCTGGGGTAAGAGGAGAGTGCTAACTCTTCTTGACCCTCTCAGTTGATGAAAACAGTTTTCAGTGGTTTCAACAGTTAATGATCTTTGTAAAAAGGTGAGCACGTTGCTTCTCTTTCTTGGTTGTTCGGATGATATGTATCTTTTAAATAGCAGCACAAATTATTAATAATAAAGACTTTTAGGAGGGGAAGAAGGGGCGTCAGGAACAGAAGCTAAAACTCAACAGTTTATGACTCAGACATCAGGAAAAAGTTTCTTAAAGAAGCAGTTTAAAACAAATGATAGAAGATTTGGGGATTACATGCTTATCTAAGTAAATAAATAACCTAAATATTATTGATTTCCCCCAGAAACAGGAAGTACATCAATTTCTTTTTTAAGTGGCCCAAGCTTAGAGTGGCAGGATAACATTTTAACTGAACACAAGTAGTTTATTCAGTCAACTGGTGAGAATAAAGGAAAAAAGCAGAGTTCTCAACACCTTACCCCTTTCTATGTCTGCATGTGAGGCCTCTACTTCGATGGGCTCCGCTGGCAAAACGGTAACTTTTGTCCCTGTCTGTTGGATAAACTGCTGGAGATTGACTTGCCGCAGCTCTTTGGTCAGCTGCTCCAGTTCTTGTTCTTTGTCCTAGATGCAAGTGAAAATTTTTCTTTTTATTGGAGGAGTCACTACTGGCCAGCTAAAGACATCCTGGTGATAGTCCATCTGCTTACAGGGGCTGTGTGTGCGATACTCGCTAGCACAAGAACGTGGTCCACAAATCTGGTTAATACTGATAAAATAGGCTAAAAAGAGGTGATTTTTGTTCTATGGCACAGGTCAAAAAATAAGCAAATAAAGGACAAGAAGTTATTTAGTCTGTCCTTTTAAACGTGATGCTTTCCTCTGTTAGGAATTCAGTGGGTACCTGACAAAATAAATATGTCTATAGACTTTCATCAATAAATACCGGTTTCCATCCATCCCAGTGTTTATAGCAATCTTGCTGTAAGTTGTTCACAATGAAATTTCCCTGTTATTTACTTCAAAACTGACTGTAAAATTCATAGTCATTTGGTCCGTGAGAGTCAGAAAAGTTCTTGTCTGGTGGACTGTTTAAATGTTCATGGGCTCCATTATTGAGATTTGTATTAGAGCATGAGGAAAGCAAAGTTCCCACAAGATTTTCAATGTGGGGTTCTTAAATCCTTGGCAAAGACAGATCTGAGAACCGAAGATCCTTAAAGAAAGGAGATCAAGTTTGGATAGCCAGAAAGCTCAAAAAGCAAGTAGAGGAATTCTATTATTTAAATGGATGAAGTTCTCTCTCTCTTTCTCTCCTTTACTGCCCTACAGGGAAAAGTGGCGAGGACTCGCCTTGGTGGAGTGTGTTGGATGAATCTGGCAGGGGTCGGGGAGATACCAGAAATGAGTGGTTGTTTCCTCCACTTACCTTGAGCATAGCGGGCACTTGGAGATATGTTAGTTTGATTAAGAGATACTTTTCAATGGGTAGTTAGATTTACTAGCACTAACTGCCATAAATTAGCGTTTCCTGTAAATAATAGCAAAGGCAACACAACTTCCAATTGTACGCTTTTTAAGGGTCAAAGTGAATCCAAATACCAGAATACCGACAAGTCAGAGGTTAACAACTTTCCACTGCATGAGAAATTCTCAATTTTCAAAATTTTGGTGGTAGTTTTATTTCTCACTATGGTTAGTGGCAGAGAAAGGAAATCATGAAAGTTCTTCCTGAAAGCTCAGCTTTCTCTGCGGGTGAAACTGTTCATATTCTAGGGTGGGTCTTCTCAAGCTTCCATGTGCACAGGCACTATTTGGAGATCGTATTACAAATACAGATTCTGAATTTTTAACAAGTGTGTCCTGAACTTCATGGATCACTCTAAACAGCAAGCTTCTAAACCAGCACTGATCAATACAGCAACATCTAGACATGTGCCACAGAGCACTTGAAACGTGGCCAAATATAACAAAACTCAGAAATTAAATTTATTTAATATTTTAACTATTATTTATATTTAATACCTCTCTGTAATTCTCCTAACATCACCACATTTTCTTTTCAAGAATGGGTGTCTAAGAAATTTAAGTTGAGTAATCAGCATCTAATGACAAAACATAAATATTCTTGTATGTGAACCAGAGAGCAGAGAATCAGAGAGGAATCTCTGTGTCCCTCTTCTCAGGAAAGCAAAGGAGAATAAGTAAGTGGAGAGAGGAAGGGAACTATTTACATCTCAGAAAGACGGGGTTAGCAACAACGGATAAATAATAGATAAGCAGTTAAGTAGCCATACAATCCTTGGTAAACCAATCTGCAGTAATCTCTTTTGGCACTGGTTTCCTTATCTCTAAAGGAGTGAAGGTCAGATTCACTATCTCATCATTAGTGTCCATCCAGTCTGAGGTTCTATTCTCTGTATCCAATTACCTAATGTTAAAACTGCCACACAGTAAGAAACCTCTTTCCATAGAGCAAGGATCCGTGTGGCCTTAGCTCTCATCTGTTTTGGTCTGACATCTTAGCTTTGTCATAAGTCAGACATTCTAAGAAACTGATAAACCGACGTAGGTGGCTAATTTTAAATATAAGAGAAAATGGACAATCATTAAGGAAAATGCCAAGAATATATTAATTCTTTTAAACAGACGAAACTTCCTTTTTATAAAAATGTTCTTACCTGTAATCGTTTGGTGGCTTGTCCAAGAGATCTTTCTACAGCCTTAATGCCATTTTCCAGCCTCAGACTCTGTTGACCTTGAATGTCAATTTCTCCTTTGACCTTCCCAATCTTTCCTTTAACCTCTTCTTCATTGACTTGTGCCTCCTGAACTTCCCGCTGTAATTTTTCTGCTTCAAGACCGCTTTCCATAGTCTGGATCTGAGCCAAATAGTCCTTTAATTTGCTCTCACATTCTGTTATTTTCTGTCTTATTTCTTGAAGTTGATCCTTCAGCTGTTTTTCATTTTCCTGTTCAATCTGTAATTCATTTTCCCAAAATTCTTCCTCTTCAATTTCTACATCATTTCTTTTGATCTTTTGCTCCAGGCGGACAATTTCCTCTTCAAGGTTAGAATTATATTTTTGCTCCCAAAATTGTATTTCGATTTCATTTGATTCTAGCTCTTTCTCAATGGATTGAAGCTTCTCTGTCTGCAACCGAATCAGTTTCTTTAACTCATCTGCTGTTGTTTTGCAGTTATTCAGCACCTTTTGCTTAAATTCAGTTTCTTTACCCTTTCCAAAAATGTCCATTAACCCTTTGGCACCTCCTGTAAATGTTAATGATTTCCTTTTAGGTTCCCGCCTTTTGATGGACTTGTCAATCTGCGGCCTCAGTTTGGCTAAGGGGGGCAAACTCTGCCTGTATAAAGTTCTTTCGGGAATTCGAGCCACACTGTCTGAAGTGGGTCGCTCACTAAGGGATGGCCCAGTTCGCCGTAAAATTAGTTGTACATCACTAGCATACTGCCCCCATTTGTTTAAGGATATGATAGGATTTTCATGAGGCGCTAAGTGTCTTTCAGTATCTCTCCATTTTTCTATAAGAGTGTACCTTCCAGTTCGACCTAGATAAAAAAAAGATAAGAACACTGTCAAAGTGGCATATGCAATAGCTAAAATAATGCTACAGAGGACACTATTTATTAAATGTGTCTTCTTGATTAGCATCAAAGTCTAGTACATGCTGCTTTTAAAACTTCCCTTGAAGGTATGTTAATGGCATAGAATTATGGGATGTGAGTTACATATACCCTTCAGATTTGTTTAGAAATTCAACTTCACACTTTAAACATCAGGGAGACTTTTATACTCTTATCAAATGCCTGATTGCCTAGACTTTCCTGTGTGGGACAAGACTTCTAGAAAAAAACAAAGGATGACAGTGGAATGCCCCACTGGAAGCCATCGGGGCCTGGCTGCAGGAACTAGGTAGAACTTCGAGACTGGAATACATTTCCTCTTTGTGAATTCCTATGCTTTCTCTCTGCACATTAGAACTTGGGAAGGTTGAAGGCCCCATTTCTCTCCTGAAAGGAGATACTGAGCCAGTAGACAACATGCTATACAGGCCTTTCCTCTGTTTCTGCATAAGGGCTTGGCCATCCCATAGCTCACACTGCTGGTATCATTCTGCACACCTGTGGCAAATAAAAATCACTTCAGTGAAAACAACCTTTCAAAATAATTTTGTATAAAAATAGGGGCCGGAAGAGAAGTCTACAGTTTTGATAGCTGTAGCTTCGAAGCTGGTTAAAAACATTTTAAAGGGAAAAATATTAAAACATAAAAACAGTGAAGTCACATTTAAATAGAAATACTGAACCTAACTAGTAATTACAGAAGATAAAATTTCAGAAGACAGTAAATATTATAACTTGAACATACTTCCTAAACATTTTCATTTAAGGTGGGTGGGTCAGATGGATTATATTTTGTTAAAAGTGTCCACTACATACCTGAAACTAATATAAATGTTACATGTCAATTAAATCTTAATAAAAAAGTATCCATTACTAATTAACATTATTACAAGGAAGAAAAACCCTGATCCTGTCATCTAGCAATTATAATACTGGTCCATACAGCTATTGATTTATCATCACATACACATATTCTCCTTTAAGGAAACTGAATTTTGAGTACAGCTGCAAAGTTGTAGCTTGGGAGGCAAACAGACTGGAGTTTTAATCCTGGGTTGGTTTTTTTTTTCTTGAGAGAGACAGAGACAGGGACAGAGAGAGAGAGAAAGAGAAGGAGGAGAAGAAGAGGGAGAGGAAGAGGGAGAAGGAGAGAGAGAATCTTAAGCAGGCTTCATGCCCAGCATGGCATCCAACATGGGGCTCCATCTCACCACCATAAGATCATGACACAGGCCAAAATCAAGAGTCTGAGCCACTCAGGCACCCCAATCTACACTTTAATTAGGTACTGCATAAATAGCATAACCTCACTTCTAAAATGGAGACAACAGCAATACCTCACAGGTTCTGAGAGTCAGAATCAGACATAATAAGCACCTACCACATTGCTTGGCCCATGGCAGGCATTCAAAACATGGTAGCCATTATTAATTTAAAATACTGTTATTCACATAACAAAAGAGCTGACCAGAGACCTCTTAAAAATTATGTGACATGACAATAATCTGACTTAAAATCCTTTAGCAACTTTCAACAACTCTCAACTATATAGAGCTGGAAAGAGCAAAAAGACTCTGGAGTCAGAAGGCCTGTGTTCAGGTTTGGTTCTGTCATCTACTTAAATGATTTGCATAATGCATTAAATTTCCTTCGGCTTCAGTTTCCTCATCTAAAGGGTGAGAATAGTATTTTCTTACTGACACTGTTGTGAGTCAAATGAGATGCAAAATATAAAAATGTTTTCTAAAATTGAAAAGTTCTCTACAAATGTTAGTTGTTACTATTATCAAAATGCCAGGGCAAATAAGGGGAATGAAGAAGAAAGCCTTAGTACAGTGGATTGGCTTCTTGGAGTAAAAATGTTTCTAGTGATTTTCAGGTTAAAAATTACTGTAATTACTCCAAGAAAAAACCACATGACAAATCTGCAAGGTTAAAACTGTTCCACATGTACACACTGCTTCAAAGATCACAGCACTCAGTGTTCTTGGCTTTGCTGCCTGTCAACTACTTTTAGAATCTCTCTCTTATCTGGAGCTCTGTGTCCTCATCAGTAATGTGAGGGGTTAGACTAGATCAGCAGAGCCCTCTCTAATTCTACCAGGCCAATGAAGCATCTTTACAAAGAAAACAGAATCATTACATTATACAAGTTATATTAACAATTTTAAAGACCCTAATTTACTCATAATTAAATATGAAGCTAATTTTTCCAATGGTTAATGGTAATGCTGCCCTATGAGAATGTCTTGGTAGAAGATTATTTAGAATTGCTTTTAATGCCAGTTTTCCCTTTTTGTCAAATGATGCATATTTATTGCAGTTAGGCAAAAAGAAAAAAATTCTATCCAGCAATATAAAAAAGCTTTTATAAAAGGTAAATGAATCACTTTATTTTATTATAAAAATTAGGCTTTAGATAGGCTGTGTAACAGTTGAATCCCATAATCATTATTTTTAATACTATACTTGGCAAGGCCCTAAAAATCCTATTTCATTTGGATAGATCCAAATTCCTCTTGCAAAACTCCTTTCAATGTATTTTATTAAATGGATACACTGAGTTGTACCTTGCATGCCATCTTGATATACTCCTAAAACTAACACAAAGGAATAGCTACACTCCTACCTACCTACCTGTAGCATTTATAGATTAGGCTGTTTTGGCTATATAGAAATATGTGCCACAATAATGAACAGCAAATAAAATAATGATTGTACTTTTGAATAGATGAAGCAATTGAGTGTATTCCTAAGGATCATTAATTTCATATAATAAGGAAAATCACATGAAGAGACTTTAATGTGTTAGTGGAATCTCACTAGATGATTGGCATAAATTAAAAGGAAATATGGTAACAGATTATTCTTACCTAAGTTAAAGCAGAATAGTATGTAAAATTAAGGTTTTGAAAATATACACCAAAACTCAAATATTCAAATATGAGTCACTCAGAAACATCATGCCCTTATTTCAACCACTCTTTTCATGGTGCAATCATTTTACACAATTTTAGAAAATTTCTCCAGAAATTTCCTAAATAGAGCCAAATAACAAAATCATGATTTAAAAGTCCCATCTTGTTATTTAGTAAACAAATATATATAGAATATCAAATATCTGTCAGAAATTGCGTCAGGCCCTAGGGATATAAATTCTCTTGAACACCTTGATCATCAACCCTCTGTCTAAGTTTTAGTTATAAGTGACATTTAGTTTTTCCTTCAGTTTCACATCATTCTAACCCCAAAGATGAATACTATACACTATTCAAAAAAACATAACGGAGAGTTGGCATTTATTGCTTATGAAATTAATGTTAACAAATCTTCCTGTTTGGATATATTAGAAGTAATATCAGTAAACTTATTGTTTATCATGAATCCTACCCCCCTGAATTTTTCCAATAACAGATACTTTTTGCTCCTTAAGCTATATAAACATTTTGGATTCTTATATAGACTGTAGTTAACATAACCAATCATTCTTCTAATGACTTAGAATCTTACAAGGAATGTCTCTGTAAAAGAAATTGCATTGTATCATTTTATAGTCTGTTAAATGCTTTTGACGCTGACATATATATATATATATATACACACACATATATTTATATAAATCAAAGATATATAAAATATATAAAAATATATCTTATATACAGGCTTAATTCGTTTTGTGAGATAAATAGTATCGATATTATGATCCTCAACTTTCCAGTGAAGAAATCAAAGCTTAAAGAATTTAAAGCAATTTATCAATCACATACAAATACTCTAGAAATTTATCAATGGGTTTTCTATAAGTCCTAAGTGTGGCTATTAAGATAATTTTAACCATAGAATATTTAATTTATAACTATAGTGATACAATGTAAATATCTCTGAGCATAATCTGCTGGTCAGCTATAGACAACCCATAGTTAAGTCATGCACAGTATATTTTCCCAGAGTGTTTATGAGAACATCATGTAATCTATTTATTATATAATATCATAGAACCACTGCACATTAATTTAGAAACTATTTAGGATTATATGATAAGCTTACTACTATTAAAAATAAAACATAAAATTTACTGATTTCACAATGATTAATATTTATTATGCCTATATTTGCTAGGCACTATGTTGCTTACTTTGCATAAATACTATTAACCAAATAACATAACGTTTATCACTGTAGTGCTCCCTTTGGCAGCACATATACCAAAATTGGAACAATACAGAGAAAATTAGCATGGCCCCTGCACAAGGGTGACATGCAAAATCATGAAGCATCCCTTATTTTTACAAGCATGAATCCTACAAAGAACACAATGACTCTAAACCCATATTTTTCAATAATAACACTGAATGTAAATGGGCTGAATGCTCCAATCAAAAGACATAGGGTAGCAGAATGGATAAAAAAACAAAATCCATCTATTTGCTATCTAAAAGAAAAACATTTTAGACAAGAAAAAACCTTCAGATTGAAAGTAAGGGGATGGAGAAATATCTATCATGCTACTGGAAGTCAAAAGAAAGCCAGAGTAGCCATACTTATATCAGACAAACTGGACTTTAAAATAAAGGCAGTAACAAGGGATGAAGAAGGGCATTATATAATAATTACACAGTTTATCCATCAGGAAGAGCTGTTTTTAGAATAAAAACAAAAAACAGTTGAACAGATCAATGAAACCAAGAGTTGGTTTTTTGAAAAAATAAAGTTGATAAACCTCTAGTTAGGCTTCTCAAAAAGAAGAGAGAGAGCACCCGAACAGACAAAATCATGAATGAAAATGGATTTACTAAACCAATACCTCAGAAATATAAGCAATTATCAGGGAATATTATGAAAAATTATATGCCAACAAACTGGACAACTTAGAAGAAATGGACAAATTCCTAAACACACACACACTACCAAAATTCACACAGGAAGAAATAGAAAATCTGAACAGACCCATAACCAGTGAAGAAATTGAATCAGTGATCAAAAATCTCCCAACAATAAAGAGCCCTGGGCCATCCCTGGGGAATTCTACCAGACATTTAAATCAGAGTTAGTAACCATTCTTCTCAAGCTATTCCAAAAAATAGAAATCGAAGGAAAACTCCCGGACTCATTCTATGAAGCCAGCATCACTTTGATTCCCAAACCAGACAGAGACCCAGCAAAAAAAGAGAACTACAGGCAAATAACCATGATGAATAAGGATGCAAAAATCCTCAACAAGATAATAGCAAATCGAATTCAAAAGCAAATAAAAAGAATTATCCACCATGATCAAGTGGGATTCATTCCTGGGTCACAGGGCTGGTTCAATACTCACATATCAATCAATGTGATACACCACATTATTAAAAGAAAAGATAAAAACCATATGATCCTGTCAATAGATGCAGAAAAAGCATTTGACAAAATACAGCACCCCTTCTTAATAAAGACCCTTGAGAAAGTTGGGATAGAAGGAACTTACTTAAACATCATAAAAGCCATCTATGAGAAGCCCTCAACTAATATCATCCTCAATGGGGAAAAACTGAGAGCTTTCTGCCTGAGATCAGGAACACAACAGGGATATCCACTCTCACCACTGTTGTTTAACATAGTGCTAGAAGTTCTAGCATCAGTAATCAGACAAGAAAAGGAAATAAAAGGCATCAGAATTGGCAAAGAAGAAGTCAAACTTTCACTTTTTGCAGATGACATGATACTCTACATAGAAAACCTGACAGACTCCACCAGAAGCCTACTAGAACTGATCCATGAAGTCGGCAAAGTTGCAGGGTACAAAATCAACGTACAGAAATCAGTTGCATTTTTATACACTAATAATGAAACAACAGAAAGAGAAATCAAGAAACTGATCCCATTTGAAACTGCACAAATAACCATAAAATACCTAGGAATAAACCTAACTAAAGATATAAAAGATCTGTATGATGAAAACTACAGAAAACTTATGAAGGAAACTGAAGAAGACACAAAGAAATGGAAAAACATTCCATGCTCATGGATCAGAAGAATAAATATTGTTAAAATGTCACTACTACCCAAAGCAATCTACACATTCAATGCAACCTCAATCAAAATTGCTCCAGCATTCTTCTCAAAGCTAGAACAAACTATCCTAAAATTTGTATGGAACCACAAAAGACCCCGAACAGCCAAAGTAATATTGAAGAAGAAAGCCAAAATGAGAGGCATCACCATCCCAGACTTTAGCCTCTACTCCAAAGCTGTCATCATCAAGACACTATGGTAATGGCACAAAAGCAGACACATAGACCAATGGAATAGAATAGAGAACTCAGAGTTGGACCCACAAATCTATGGCCAACTAATCTTTGACAAAGCGGGAAAGAGAATCCAATGGACAAAAGACAGCCTCTTTAACTGATGATGTTGGGAGAACTGGGCAGCAGCATGCAGAAGAATGAAACTAGACCACTTTCTCATACCATACTCAAAAATAAACTCAAAATGGATCAAGGACCTGAATGTGAGACAGAAAACCATCAAAACCCTAGAGAAGAAAGCAGGAAACAATCTCCTTGACCTCAGCCACAGCAATTTCTTACTTGATACATCCCCAAAGGCAAGGGAATCAAGAGCAAAAATGAACTCTTGGGACCTCATCAAGATACAAAGCTTCTACAAAGCTTCTTCACTGTAAAGGAAACAATCAAAAGAACTAATAGGCGACTGACAGAATGGGAAAGGATAGTTGCAAATGACATATCAGATAAAGGGCTAGTATCCAAAATCTATAAGGAACTCACCAAACTCCACACCCGAAAAACAAATAATCCAATGAAGAAATGGGCAGAAGACGTGAACAGACACTTCTCCAAAAAGGACATCCAGATGGCCAAGAGACACATGAAACGATGCTCAGTGTCCCTCCTCATCAGGGAAATACAAATCAAAGCACACTGAGATACCATCTCATGCCTGTCAGAGTGGCTAAAATGAGCAAATCAGGAGACTACAGATGCTGGCGAAGATGTGAAGAAACGGGCACCCTCCTACACTGTTGGTGGGAATGTAAACTGGTACAGCCCCTCTGGAAAACAGTGTGGAGGTCCCTCAAAAAATTAACAGTAGAACTCCCCTATGACCTAGCAATAGCACTGCTAGGAATTTACCCAAGCGATACAGGAATGCTGATGCATAGGGGCACATGTACCCCAATGTTCATAGCAGCACTCTCAACAATAGCCAAGTCATGGAAAGAGCCTAAATGTCCATCAAACGATTAATGGATCAAGAAGATGTGGTTTATCTATACAATGGAATACTACATGGCAATGAAGAAGAATGAAATCTGTAGCCATTTGTAGCAACATGGATAGAACTTGAGGGTGTTATGCTAAGCAAAATAAGTCAGGCAGAAAAAGACCGATACCACATGTTTTCACTTACAAGTGGAGCAGGAGGAACTTAACAGAGGACCATGGCAGGGGAGGGGGAGAAGGGGAAAAAATAGTTGGGCAGAGGGAGAGAGGCAAACCATGAGAGACTCTTGAATACTGAGAACAAACTGAGGGCTGATGGGGGTGGGGGAGAGGGGAAGGGGGTTGATGGGCATGCAGAAGGGCACTTGTTGGGATGAGTACTCGGTGTTATATGGAAACCAGCTTGACAATAAACTAAGAAAAAAAATGAAAAAACCAAAACCATTTATCACTGTAGACCATTAACATTTGGGGAACTTTTTATTAATGTAGCATAATCTAACCCACCCTGACTGATGCATGCTATGAATTACCTGTATTCACATTCATTAAAATAATCTTTATGGATGTAGAAAATATAGAAAGTCCTTTAGAATTATGAATGATTCCCCTACAGCTATAAATATCAAAATTATAAAAGATAATCTTGGCTACAAAAAAGCAGTATATTTTACTATTAAAAACTTCTATTTCTTGTTTCAATACAATTCAGTCAATAACTATATTTTTTAACAAATGTCCACTGAGATTATAGGAGGTGTAACCAAAACAGTATAATAGAGGTTAAGGGCAGGGTTGTTGAATCAAGACTCCTGGTTTGGGCGCGCCTGTGTGGCTCAGTTGGGTAAGCGTCTGAATTTGGCTCTAGTCATGATTTCATGGTTTGTGGGTTTGAGCCCCAAGTCGGGTTCTGTGCTGACAGCCAGCTCAGATCCTGGAGCCTGTTTCTGATTCTGTGTCTCCCTCTCTCTCTGACCCTCCCCTGCTCACATTGTCTCTCTTTCTCTCAGAAAAACAACAACAACAACAAAACATTAAAAAAAACAAAAAACAACTCCTGGTTTGAATCCCAGTACCCTCTTACTGGCCTTAGGAGCTTGGACAAGTTATCTGGTATCTCAGTGCCTTAGCTTGAACATCTATAGAGATAATAACAGGGCTTTCCTCCTAAGACTTGTGAGCATTAAATGGAAAATTTAATTCACAATCCAGTAAATGAAAAATAAGACTTTAAAACTATCAAGAATTATGGAGCATGAAATCTTTATTTTTAAACTCATCTAGAGGTACATAAAAGGAATGATTATAGTGATTACTTATAGGAGGTAGGATCCTGAGTTATTTTTTAAATTTTCTTTGTATTTTTTCTAAATTTCAAAAAAGTCTACAATGAATGGTATTACTTTGTAAAGAGATGTAAAATGGATAAATTTGTAAATTTCTAAAATTGATAACTTATGCATGAAATTAAGAGTTAAATGTGACCATATAAGATATTATTTTCCTTATCTTCTAAAGGATCATATAATCTTAGAAATGGATAAGACATTAGGTGGTCACCTAATTCAGTCTGTAATTTATAGAAAATTTAAAAAATTCATTCAGTAATTCACACATACGTATTGAGTGTCTACTATTTAGGCATGGCTTTAAGTTATCAGAATAGGCAATAACAAAACAGTAGCAGGGAATATATAGCACACAAGTAAACGTAGGTCTACTATCCTTTATCCAACAGCTTTAAGGCCAGATATGCTGGAAATTTGGAACTTTTTGTATTTTAGAAAGGTAACGTACTGCTATCCCTATAGGTCTATAATCAAACATATTAAAATTTATGAAGTAAAATGTATCAACATTAATATCAAATGGAATAACTATAAATTAAAAACAGCCTCATATCGATTCAGAATAGTTTTTACCACCAAATGAGTTCAAGACATTCCAGGTATGGCTAACAAATGAAATATGATATGCTTCAGGCTTTCAGAAATGTTTGTATTTAAAATGTGTATATGGTCTATGTATGTGGCCTATTTGTAATATGTCAGGAGGGGTAAGT